TCAGAGAGGCAGACAGACAGAGGACAGACTGACAAATATTTAACAGATAAAATTATGACCTCCAAGTGACACCCTCCAACCTACCAGAACAAGATTAGATGGACTTTATGGCGTGAGAAGCTGGTCAAAGATAATTCTCTGTCTTAAAAAGCATCAACGATACGTCCTATTTTCCACGATGGGTGGTTAGTGTACGCTGTGATGGATTTTCTGTGTTTTTCCTGTCAAACATGTATCGTCTCCATCTCTTCTCCTTTTTTGTGCTTGTTACTCTCTTGTTACACGTCTATCTTCGGCACTTACACGTATATACATGTATCTTATATGTATCGTAAGTATAATTGTCATTTTTGGCCTGTTTGGGGGATTTTGGTTCTGAAATGTAGAGCAGAGCCAGCTTGGTAATAGTAATATAGTTCATTTCTACAAAAAAATAAAAAAAATAAAAATTTGTCGAAAGAAAGTTTTTTTTTCTTATTTTCTCAAAATGGCTAAAAGTGACTAAAGCATTTATCTTATAAGCGTGACGAATATCTACTCCTAATGTTTTTTGCCCAAGATAATGCACTCAATAACACACCGTCGAACGCGCACTTAAAAATAATATTTATCATAATATAAAGTCATGGTCAGTTTTGCTGGGCGAGGGCGGATTTTTTTTTTCTTTAAGTACACCCCACAGAGGAGTGAACCAACTTGTTATGTTGGTCGACACCCTTTCGGCGTAGTTCAGTATCCTTTTCGCGGAGCTCCGCGTTCCGGTTCACACAATTCCCTCTTGTTTTTAATCACATCTCGCTCACCGGACGGGGGCATTCTTCTCACCTCAGCGCTAAAGTTCACAAGGCGCCGTCCTTAAACACATTGACATTTTAGCCCGTGGGCCGGAGAGCCGGCTGGGTACAGAATTCATCAAATCAGTGCAAACACCGAAGATGAAAAAACCGACCAAACAAGGAAACCAATTAGTAACCGGAGAGGGCCGAGCGGCCGCGAGTTTATCCGAGCATAAAAGCAAATTTCCAGTTTGCCCTGGGGAAAGTTAATCCCGAAGTTGAAATTCCGACAGTTTGAACTTTACAAAAAGCCTCCCCTGGGGCAGTACATGGGAGTACCTGATGGACTGAATTATGAGGGTGAATGTATATGCGCTTTGTTCAAAGTCATGTGGCTGTTTTTTCCTGGTGACAATCAATCGCGACTTTGGAACGTGAAAGTAATGTGGATGGTAATTCTAAATGCCACTTTGTTTTGAGAAAGGTGATCCAGGGAGGGAGGGGGGCGGGGGCGGCGGAGGTAAACCTGTAAGTTTATGAAACGTTGCATAAAGTTGTTTACCTGTTTTCATTGTTTGGTTTTACCAGAGGTAAACACCCTGGTTTAACTTTTTTGTCGCTCCCACCACAACCACTATCATCGACATCATCATCACCACCACCAC